ATATATAATCCAATTTTACCTTTTTTAACTTGAAAAATATTTTGTATACAACTTATTCTTTCATTCTTGTCATTAAATAAATAAATAAATATATCATTTTTCTTCAATCAACTAGTTTATCAGTTAATCTTATTAAAATTTTTAAATTTTCAAATTTCAACTCCTAATTTATAGTTTATAAATTTTTAGTTAACTTATAAATATCAATTTTATTAAATACACTTAATAATTAAATTAAGTTACTTTGTATACAATAAAAATACTTTTAATACTTTTTAAAGTGTGGCCAGTAAGTATTTTATTAGTCTCATACCTATTATTAAATAGATATTCATTTAATTGTTTATTTATAATTTATAATAAATTTTTTTCATTGATATATGCGAGTATGAATATTTTTTTGTTGTTGTCGTAATTAGTCACGACTGTTGCTCCCAATTTTCCTTTATTATTATTTTACCTTTTTAAAAGCAAATATATGCACCACATGATCATTGTTATTGCATAACTCATTTATTGAAGGGACCTTAGCACGTGAACGTTTTTCACAATTTCAAAATTCAAAATAGGACCACTCACCATATTGACAAAGGTACTTATGCTTTCTCTTGTTTTATTTCCTGCCTAGAAGTGTTAATAAGGTTTAGTCCATGTTTTTAAAACATAACCGATGAGTCTGATTTAAGATTTAATAGTTTAGGGTTAAATTTTATTTCAACTGACATTAATAAAATAATAATTAAATAAAACACAAAAGTATATACAAAACATAATACTATAACATTATAAAATTAAAAATTTAAATAAACAAATTTTATTTTATGTATTATTAAAACCTAAAAGTATATACAAAAGTTCAAATATAATAGTTTGATCTAAATTCAATAATACACATCAATATTTATTAATAATAAAAAATTTATATTTAAATTAATAAAAAAATGATAAATATTTTGGACTGATTTTATTTTTAAAAAATTAAAATAATTTTATGCTAATCAGGTGATCAATTTATTGATTTTCAGTCAGATCGACTGGTTAAATTTTTAAAAGAGTTTAATGCATTATTTGATTCTTAAATTTTTAAATAATTTCTTATTATTCCATAAATTAAAAAATTATAATTAAGTCATTCATCCTTTTATGGAATTTAGCCTCCAAGACCAAAAGTCTATTTAAAATTTTTAAAATTTAATAAATTTTTTTATATAATATTTTTATACCTAAATAGTACATCAAATTATATTCAATATCATCATCATTCATATGTATGTCTCATAATCTCCATAAAAACAGATAATTATATAAAGAATATTTTCATATTAGTGACTAGTAATTCATAAATCAGATACAAACAAGTGATGATATGAAACTCTAATATGATGTGACCATATAGGTCTAAAGATATAAATAATATTTTATGGATAGTAAATAAATCTCTGATCTTGATTAAATAATAATAAATATATATATATAAAAATAAATTTAGAGATCT